ACCTCGTTAGAGCTCCCTGGTTCTCGAGTTCTCGAGGTCAATCCTCCTAACTAAGGGTATAGTTCTGCTCCTGAGCTTGCAAGGAACTTAGAAATGGTCTCCACTATCTCGATCTGTGCAAGATGAAGCTAGTTGGGTGCGTGAGCATATTGACTGTACAAACGGAAAGAGGGTTCAAGAAAGAGAGTGGCAGATGAAGGTTACACGTGTGTGAGTATGTGTGTGCCCTGATCCAGATTGGGTATACAAATATACAATCCTTAAACTCTAATTGGGCCACCACTAAAGGCTAAAAATCATCTACAACAACCCTAATTCCTATTGGGTCCAAAGAATTAGGACATAACATAATTGGTCCGATTTTTCTTAACCCAATTATACATTCACAATCCCACCGCTCAAGGGGTAAAATTGATATTTCCACACTATCAGGGATAAAATAAAGGGACACTTTGGATGCGGTCCCTAGTTATTAATATTTTTTAACTGAGACCTTGTCTGTTTTTAGTTTTTTATCGAAGTCCTTGAATTAATATAATAGTGTAAGTTACTATATTTTTTAATTAAAAATTGAAATTTGTATTTATTTATATTAATGACATTTTAAATATAACTCATAATTTGTGGGATTAAAAATAATAAAATATAAATTCATACTCTCTATTATATTGTGTGTGTGTGTGTGTGTGGGTACATTCATCAAAATTAACAACAAAAAAATTATTATACCAAAACATGGATACATTCTCCAAAACACAGAAGAAACAAAAAGAAGATATTAGGCTTAATAATGTTAGTAAATTTATTCGATTAAACTTCACATAGATACATTTTCAAATCAACGAAAAAAGAATGTGTCCATATAAGTTTAAAAATAAATTAAAAAATTTTAATGGATTTTATATTAAAAAATTGGGTACATTTTATATAAAAAAAAATTGTACATTTTATATTAAAAAAAGGGTACATTTTACATATAACAAATTGGTATATTTAAAAATGGGTACATTTAAGATTAAAAAAATTAAAAATTGTATGAATGGGTACATTTAAGATTAAAAAATCAAGAATCTTTTTATAAAAAACTAATGGGTACAAACTTATTCTAATTTTTTTTTTATTTTAGAAATGTTTGAATTCAAAATCAATTAGGAGTTTAATAGAGGTGTGAGTATTAAAACCCTAAATCAATTACTAATTTTTATTATAAAATATGTAATAAACATGTAAATTCATTATCACATTAATGCTAAGGACTTCAATCAAAATTTGAAAAATAATAAGGTCTCAATCAATGAACATTAGTAACTAAGGATCGGATACTAATTTTTCCTAAAATAAATATAAATTCGGGACGGGTTGTCACAATTTTGAGAAAAAAAACAACTTTTTTCTTTTCCAAACCCAATTTTAGACCTAGTTTTTTTTTTTTATTATTATTTAATTTTTTATAAAGTGATTGTCATTTTACTACCCTAAAATATCGTAAATCTCCAATTTTCATACATAAATTTTTTTTTCGTCCCACTTTCTTACCTAAAGTGTGAATTTTGTGATGCATTCATACTATCGTTAACCTTTTCATCAAAAACTCAGTTAACTGATGACGTGGCTCATTAAATGGATGATGAATGTGCATCCATGTGTTACCGCGGCTCCACGTGGACATTTGAAAATAATTTTTTCGATAAAAAATAAAAATAAAAATGTCGTCATCTTCTTTTGATGGATCAAACAAACAGCCCCAATAAAAAAACCCTAACCTAAACCCTTCTTCCATCACAATCCAAATATTCTCGTCCTAAAGTTGAAGCCTTTGAATGGACGCTTGTGCTGGCCTTGCCGAACTGATATGGTGGGTGTAACAAAGAAGCAACAATAGGGATCCCAGAAAAATACCGATAGAGAACAACATTGTTTGTCATGTCATAAATACAACCCAGGTGCACTCCTTCGACGGCTAGGAAGAAAACGAAAGGAAGGAGACGGAAGGAAGAAGACGAAAGGAAAATAGATATACAACCCCGTTGGTAAAATGGGTTCAAAGGCAAAATCGAAAAATGGGTAAGTTTCATCTCCTTCAAATTCCTTCAATTCCTCTCCGGAAAGCGCAATTTTCTCGTCTTCCAGATATAACCTATATAAGAAGCAATGTTCTAAGCCCAAATCGAAATATCGATCATTTCATTATCCGCTAGGTTCTTCTAATTCGTTGACGGACTCCCCGTCGCCACCAAGAAAATTGAGGAGGAAGCTGAAGAATGCGATGAAGGAGGAGGAGAAGATTTGCAGAACGACTGAGAAAATTGTCAAGTGGGCTAAGTAGGCATCGGCTAGGATGAGTGCGGCTGTCATTGAAGATGAACTTAGTAATCATTAGTGATGAAATTGAGGTTTCTAATATAAAACTAATTGGTAATAGGAGGAGTAGTTTAATATCATATAAGCCCTTAGCTAGACTTGTCCTTCGCCGATGTGGGATAAACTCCCCACACACCATCAACTCTCAACATGACCTCACATATGTGGCCGATTTTTAACCCTAGACATGGACAGCAAACGGGTGACGCATGAGCAACATGTGACCCCTTTGAGCTTTCACATGAGGAATAACATGCTCTGATACAATGATGAAATAAGGATTCTACTATAAAAGTAATTGGCAATGTGAGAAATAATCCAAAATCATATAAGCCCTTAGCTAGACTTCAGGGCCGCCCAGAGAATTTGGGGGCCCTAGGCGAGCCTTCAAAGTGGGGTCCAAAAATTCTCTGATCTCCGGTTCTTTGTATATTGATTTATATAAAAAAGAATTCACTAAATACATAAAAAATTCTATTTTCAAATCAAATATCATTAAAAATTAATATCAAAAGAAGATAAATATACAAACATTATTTAAACATTACACGATTCATGTTTTTAGACACAAATGTACTAAATGTTTGCAGTCAAGAGTTTAAGATTGAGAGTGAAGAACAATAAAACTTGATGATCAAGAGAGTAAATAACAATAAAACTTGATTGACGAGTATAATTAATTCAACGCCAATTGTTTCTCTTGTGTTTTTGTTTTCTTCTAAAATCAACATCACACTAACGAATTGAATATTAAAATAATCCATTGAATAAAAAGTTATTGAAAAGAAAAATATATAATTCAAAGTTTTGATTACCTTAAAGTACAAGACGATGTGATAGTTGGTTTAAACATTCAATAGAAATTGAGAGAATTAGAAGTTGGTTAAAACATTCGATAGAAATGGAGAGAATGAGAAGTTGAAAGAAAAAAGATTGCAAAGAGACTTGAGTTTAAACATTATTTAAACATTACACGATTCACGTTTTTAAACACAAATGTACTAAATGTTTGCAGTCAAAAGTTTAAGATTAAGAGTGAAGAACAATAAAACTTGATGATCAAGAGAGTAAATAACAATAAAACTTGATTGACGAGTATAATTAATTCAACGCCAATTGTTTCTCTTGTGTTTTTTTTTTCTTCTAAAATCAACATCATACTAACAAATTGAATATTAAAATAATCCATTGAATAAAAAGTTATTGAAAAGAAAAATATATAATTCAAAGTTTTGATTACCTTAAAGTACAATCTTTAAGACCATGTGATAGTTGGTTTAAACATTCAATAGAAATGGAGAGAATGAGAAGTTGGTTTAAACATTCGATAGAAATAGAGAGAATTAGAAGTTGACAGAAAAAAATGGCAAAGAGCCTTGAGTTTAAACATTATTTAAACATTACACGATTCACGTTTTTAGACACAAATGTACTAAATGTTTGCAGTCAAGAGTTTAAGATAGAGAGTGAAGAACAATAAAACTTGATGATCAAGAGAGTAAATAACAATAAAACTTGATTGACGAGTATAATTAATTCAATGCCAATTGTTTTTCTTGTGTTTTTTTTCTTCTAAAATCAACATCACACTAACGAATTGAATATTAAAATAATCCATTGAATAAAAAGTTATTGAAAAGAAAATTATAAAATTCAAAGTTTTGATTACCTTAAAGTACAATCTTTAAGACCATGTGATAGTTGGTTTAAACATTCAATAGAAATGGAGAGAATGAGAAGTTGGTTTAAACATTCAATAGAAATGGAGAGAATGAGAAGTTGAAAGAAAAAAGATTGCAAAAAGACTTGAGTTTTATAACTTTATATGCATTGGACAGATGGATTGGCAGTAAATTTGAAAAACAAGAAAAATCTAATGACTGAAAGGCAGCTTTGTGTTTCGAACTCAACACTTCAAAGAAAAATGAAGCCAACATTTCCATTGCACTAACAAATGAATTATGATATTTCTTAATTTTTTTTTAATATTTATATGTTAATTACAGAATATAAATTTTTTGGATGGGCCATTCCGAAGTGGGGGCCCCAAACGGGCGCCTACTTGGGCTACCCTCAAAGCCGGCCATGCTGGACTTCTCCCTTATTGATGTGGGACAAACTATGCACACACCATCAACTCTCAACAATCCGGGGAGAAAATTTGCAGAGACGCTGAGAAAATTGTTGGGGAATTGAAACCTGGAGCAGGAATTGGGGTTATTGATGAGCTGAAACATTGTTGGACTTGGCATCAATGATGATGGTGCGGTGTGAAGAGCGGTGATTTCTTTTCTTTCCTTTTTATTTATTTTTTAAGTAAAAATATTACATGAATTGAAATAAATTTATCCTTTATTTTTAATTGTTAATTCTTATTTTGTCAAAAAGAAATTACGTTTTAATTGTTTCATATGTTCATTGCAAAATTATTGTCCATGAGAGTGTCACGTTACGCTTTAACGTGTTCTAACATAAAAGTTAATAGAAGTATGAGAGGGTCACAACATCTAAACTTTAGGTATAAAAGGATTTGCTTTTTCTTCTTGTACAAGAAACGATAGAGTAGTGGACTTGCTTTGGCAATAAAGGAATTAGTTTTCCTTTTGTTTGGACAGTGGCTTGACGTCAAACTCGCTAGTTAATCAGTATATTGCAAGTGGAAAATTGCCAGCAGCTGCTTGGTTCCCTATATAAGAGAAGCACAGGCAGCCACTCAGAACACAAGTTCAAAGACAAGAAAGCCTCTCTTTCAATTCATCAATCTCAACTAAGAACAATCCGATCCTCATAAAGGTTAGAAGTTAAATAGCGCAATTATTTATCACACACACTGTATATTAGTGGGAAATAATAGTGGCACGCTCGCAATCTCCAAATTCATGTTCATTTAAATACCTGGCCGCCTACACGCAGGGCCATGGCGAATTTATGGTGTCAAACAAATTCACTTATCTTCTTTCCTTTGTGATTAATTTGTGTTCTTTTCTCTCGAATTTTTTCTTTTAATTTCTTGTTATCTTTGCACCATTTTGAGTTGTTCATGGGTGTTCATTTTTCCATAGGGTTTTGCTAAAAATTTGTACGTAGTACTTTTGTTTTTCGAACTGTTAGGCTGTCAAGTAACAAAATGTATAACAAAGCTTCAAAGTGCCTCCAGAAATTAAATAGGTCTTACCGATTGTACATGCTCTCAGGATTGCAAAATGGAATCGAAGCCAAGTTTGGAGAGCTCAAAGAACAAGGACAAGGAGCAGGGCAATAAGGACAAGTCTTTGTACAGGTTAGGTGCAATTGTTGCCGGTGCTGCTACAGGAATTGGTCTGCTGGCTTGGGGTTTATCTGCACTTTCTTCATCAGCTGGTTCAGAGTCAGAGGAAAAGAAGAAACCAATGAAAGCTCCTGGTTCACAGTCAGAGGAAAAGAAGAAACCAATGAAAGCTCCTGGAAAAGATGAAATCATAGAGAGGGAAGAGTTTGAGCGAGATCCTAAAGGCTATTTCAGAGCCTTGCGCGATAAGTAGGAACTTCTCTTGAACCGTTGAACGTATGATATTATAGCTTTACTTTTGTGAATCTATCTTATGTGCATTTTCCCTATATATGTTATTAAACTATCCTAATGGGAACTTGCAGTTGTTGTCTTGTAGATGGGGATTATAGTTATTTCATATCGTGATTAGGGCTTTTGCTTTCTATTTTAATTTCTGATGTTTCATCGGTTAATGGTAATCGAATTCAAAACTTGCTGAACTTTGGATATGACACAAGGCAACAAGATAACACGATGCTAAATAAGTAATCAATCATTTGATGCAACAAAAAGGTTGACCTAATTACAAGTAAGAGGATCTCAGTGATGGCCGTTGTCAAATTGGGGATCACATAAGAAGATTTATTTCTTAGTCTCTCATACAAGTGAATTGGATGAATGAAATAGGTTTGAATGCTAAGCAATTTATAGACAACTAAAGGGTACCATTTTTTCCTATTCCGTTCATCTTGTAGCCGCCGACCCTAGCTATGACCAGGATCTGTGGCAGTCCTTTTTTTCTTGTCATGTTCCTTTCCTTTCATTTCCTTCTCTTTCAGTTTCTGGCTTTCCTTGTCCTGTTCGCCACTTTCTTCCAACCCACTGTGCCCCCCACCCCCTGACTTCTCTGTTTGTAGCCCCTTCTTCCCCTTTTCCCGTTTCCCCCCTCCTTCCACTTTCCTTCAACTTTTTTACCCTTGTTTTCTTCCTCCAGCTTCCTGGTACTTGTTTCCTTTCTTCCGTCCAATTTCCTTCCACCCTTTTGCCCTTTTTCTCCTTTTCCCCTTTTTTCTCCTTTTTACCCTTTCCTTCCACCTTTTATCCACCACCTTTTTCCCTTGTTTTCTTTCGTTTCCCCTTCCTTTCACTCTCCATCCCAATCGGCTCCATCTTTCATCATCGATTGTGCAATTTAGTTCGTCTTCTACTTCTCTTTACCGCAATTTTTCACATTTCATCCAGAAGGTGTGTGGAGTTCTGGCTAAGGTGTTCACACCACCTCCTTCGTTTGTTTTGCCTTTGTTGGCACTATTGCTAGTGGGCTGCTTCTTCTTGTTAGCTTCCTTCAATTTGTGGGGCTACTATTGTGGTGCTCGATGGCAGTGTTTAAGGATCTGTTTTGGGGATCTGTGTTCACTCAAGTTTCATCCAGTTTTGGGGCTCTTTTTAGCTTGATTTCAGGTGTGTGTTGGGGATGTTCGTTTCGGTTGTTTGGCAAGCAGATTTCCGACAGTGAAGTTGGAGGAAGCTGCTAGGGCTTGCTTTGTTGTTTTTTATGTATTGGGCTCAAAGTTATGGTATGGGCTCTTGGGTCACTATAGAGGTCCATATTTTTGTTTGTTTTCGTTGTATTTGGGCTTTTTCTTATGTTGTTGGTAATAAAGTAGCCTTTTACAAAAGAACCCCGTTGTTGAATGGTTGTTGTAAGCCTTGTAAAAGGTATAACACTTTTATTCAAAGGTTGCACCTTATTATACATTCATTGTAGGCCTTCTATCCAAAATAGTCTCTAAGATTGGCATAACTCTTTACTTTAGTCATTGAAATTTAAAATCGATAGAAGTGGTCCCTGAGATTGTCCACTATCAATCATTTTGGTCATTCTGTGAGAAATCTTTGTTACATTGAGGGTATTTTTGTCAAATCAACACCTCATTTTGAACTAGTGGTTTCTTCAATTTAACAGAGATTCACAAAATTACCAAAATGATTGACGATGGACACATAAAGGGAAATTTTATTTGAACACATACAATCTATTTTTACACCCAACATACTCTCTACACCCATATTATTTTTAAGAGTAAATTACACAAAGCTACCTTAATTATGGGTCGAACTACAATCTCATACTCCATGTTTTAAAAATTACTATGTCATACCTCATCTTACGAATTTGTTGCAATGTCAGACCCCCATCAATTTTTTCTGTTAAATGCTGACATGTCTTAATACAGACCCTACTCCCTAGCCCAACTTTTAATTAAATATTAAATAATAAAATAATAAAAATTTTCTAAAAGAAATGTGGGACCACCCCTACTAACTCATCACCCTCATCAAAGTACTCTCGGTAACCAAAGACTCCCACAATCCTCATTTTCTCCATCTCCACTCTACACCTCTATGTTTCCTTCATCAATGTTGTCCCCCATTGCCCCTGTCCAACTCTTTAACTCTGATGTTGTCGCCATCCCTGCAAAAACAAGTCCTTTCCGAAAAAGGGCTAGCCGGACTTGGTTATTTGGCCTATGCGCTTCTTCACGGTGCGGTGTTGCTACTGGAGTTTATCCATCTTATGGCCACACTACATGGTGAATTTCTACAGCTCACGGTACTCGTAGCCGCACCTGGCCGGCATGGTCATCGCCACCTCTTCCCACTGGCTCGACTTCAGCTAGCCCCCTCCTCAGCGCGTGCCACTTCTCCTTGTAGGCCCGGATCAGCTCTTGGGTCTACGGCAAAGGTTGGGGCTTCTTAGCAGAGGTTTTGGGCGAGGCGGAGACTAAGGCCATGGGCGACGACTGTGGTGGTGTGGACATTGTTGTAGGGATGATTAGAGTTAAGATTTGAAATTTAGGGTTTAGGTTTGGGGGAATTGGGGTTTTCTGAAATTGGCATGGAGATTTAGGGAGTGTTTGGTTACATAGATTAATTTGGTGAGGGTGATGAGTTTGTAAAGGTAGGCCCCCCATTTAAAAAAATAAATAAATGATTTCATAATTTATTTTTTTTTTAATATTTAATTAATTTTTTAATCCAGTTGGGCTAAAAAGTGGGGTCCACCTGAAGCCACTTTAGCAATCAATAGAAAAATTAACAGAAAAACTAACAGAGGTCTAACATTGCAACAAACTTGTAAGATGAGGTATGAAATTGTAACTTTTAAAACATGAGGTATGAGATTGTGGTTCGACGCATAGTTGAGGTAATTTTGTGTAATTTACCCTATTATTAATTAAACTATCATTATCTCTTTAAACCCATATTACCTATACTACCCTCACAAACTAATTTAACATAGAAATATATCTATACACCCATATAAAAAATAAAAACTCAAAATTGGTCGCTCTCACGTATTGTCTCGTACTTAATCTTTTTATTTTTTATTTTTTTTACTAATTTTGCTGTATCTTGCTTGTACCATACTTGACCAATCCCGAAATTACTGAGCACCGGTCAACGTTATACCGTCAAGGATCCACAAGAGTTCCATCCAACCAGGAGGCCAATCACAGTGCAACACGTGTCGACATCAAAGGTCAATCATAACGCGACACGTGTTAACATCAGAGGCCAATCACAGCACGACACGTGTCAAAGTCAGAACAAAGTTAGAGACTCTCTTCTATAAAAGGAGATCATTCTCTCACAATATTTCCTAATGTCATTTGTACTAAATCATTCACTAGAACTCACTAAAAGAGAGCTTGAACCTATGTACTTGTGTAAACCCTTCACAATTAATGAGAACTCCTCTACTCCGTGGACGTAACCAATCTAGGTGAACCACGTACATCTTGTGTTTGCTTCCTTGTTTCTGTCTGTTTACATACCAATCCATACTAGTGACCGGAGCAGTCTAGCGAAGGTCACAAACTTAACACTTTCTGTTGTACCAAAGTCCTCACTGATTTTGTGCATCAACATTTAGCACTGTCTGTGGGAACACACTTATTCCTACCCTCTTTAGCTTTGTCAAGCTAGTTTCCACCATTCGTAAACTCTCTTTTGACCGGGCATCCATCTCCAACATGGGGAGCGAATGAAGCCACAACACACAAAATGACACCCTCATCGTGCCTACTATGAGGCAGCGAAAGAATGAACGAAATAAGTTCGCTCTTCAAGCTAAATTCGAAGAGCTGGAGGCTCATAACAACAAGATAGCAATGAAGAATGAGGTCCTCCAAGAGCAGTATGAGAAGCTATTCGAGATGCTCCATAAAGCTAGGCATACTCAAATACATGAGCTCATCACCCTCATGGAAGTCAACTATCAATTGGGTGCACCCCAACACGGAGGGTCACCTGCCTTCCACATGGGTATTCCTGACGAGGAGCAAGCTACTCTTCGAAATGTCGATCAATATGAGACTTCTCTCAACCCAGCTGCCTTGATCGGAAGTAGGAGAAGTAGAGGAAGGAACCTTCTTGCAGAAGGAATGGAAGGATTAAGAGCCGTTTACCGTGACTGTCGAAACTTCCTAAGACAGTGTAGAAAAAATTCTATCCACATAGGCTCAAGGATCAAAGACCCAAGAGTCATCAAAGGGCTCAGTCTTTTACCACAACGTAGGCCAACGTCTAATCCAAGAAAGGAACCATATGCCTTAAAAGGACAAGAATGTGAAAGAGACTCGAGGGACTTCCAAACGGCATGTCTCGAAAGCCAGTACGGTGAATCTAAGAAAAAGCAACATGCCTTTGACCAAACTTCCATACTTCCAAGGGATAAGGAAAACTTGCGAATGCGAGTTCTAATGATGCCGGACTCCACTCAGGACCCTCTTATCCTGCATCTCCTCGAAGAGGTAAACAGGCTAAAGGTCGAGGGTCATGCCCAAATCCCTGGCTGGGATCAACCAAGGTCTGGCCCTTTGACAAAGAGAATCCTTGGCACCCCTCTACAAGGAGAAACGAAACAAAAGCTTGGCTTGCAATCTTATACTATGAAGGAAGATCCGATTAAGCATATCTACCTCTTTGAATCTACCATGGCATACTAAATACACAATGATGAGGACCGATGTCTCATATTCCCCTCAACTCTCTCTGGTGGAGCTCTCAATTGGTATTGTCATCTTCAAATATTGTGGATTCCTTCGCTGAGCTAAGGAGACTTTTTGTGGCTCAACGCATCTTCCAAGCTGATCGCGTACACTTTGCTGATGAACTATACAATATTCGTCAGAAATCAAATGAGTTATTACGTGAATATTCCGGTCGCTTCAGTTATGAGTACTCTCGTTGTACTGAAGCAGATGATAAAACAATACTCAAGGCCTTCACGGTAGGCATGCATGAATGCTTCTTCAAGTACATGATGAATGGTAACACTTGGAAAACTTACTCTAAGGTAATAATGCAAGCTTACAACCATGCATTTGCCAAGGTAAGGACATACCAAGGGAACCCCCCATATGGTTAACCCCTATCACCAAGTGGGAAGTGGAAGTCAAGTTCTACCAAGTGAGGAGATATTGGCCATT